CAATATTTGGGTCTTTGGCTTTTCCACAAGGAGCAGAAGAAGCTTATTACAGTTTAGTCTAGAACACAATCACCATTCCCAAAAGCATCTGGGTGGAGAACATTTTAGATATGCAACCTTTTACTGCTGGATTGACTTGCAGACAGTCACTGTTTGCACCCTATTGAGTGTATGATATGTAAGATTTTTTAAATTCTCTAAATTATGAGAATGGTAACAGCAAAGCAGCTGAAAGGAAAGTATTTTACAGAGACAAAAGTCCAAATGATACTTCAGATTTCTTAGTCCTCAATGTTTTAATCCTAAACTCTACATATTTAGTTTTTCAAAATGGGAAGCCATGTTTTTGTCAAGGCAGAAAGCATTGTGTATAACAGCTACGATAAGGTCCTCTTTGGAAGTGGGACTAGATTGATTGTAACACCAAGTAAGTTATTCTTGTCATACGAGGGTATTTTCCTTGCTTTTCCCATCCCCTATATATATGAAGTCTTCGGTGATTATTAGAATGAGTGATTATTTTAGTAATTTCAGAGATTATTTCAACATTCAAGAAAGTAATCGGTCATATAGCATTAATTTTCTTGAATTGTCTGTGTATTCTCATAATCATACTGACATGACATAAAAACACATTTGTCAGATAAACAAACTGAAAAAAGGTAATCGGTATGGAATGAGCAGCAAAGATACCAATAGTTGCAATTGGATTAAGTTTAAATGTTAAGAAAATCTACACATTAATCTCAGAGCACTGATAGTGAATCCTAGTATGAAGTGATGTAGAAACGGAATGATGTCTATGGAGATTCTCAGACATCCAGGTGCTTTTTCAAGAGGCAATTGGCCTTCCTTTGTTTTTCCTTGAAGACCTTTCACTTCTCATCCAAGAAGCTTCTTCAGTTGCCTCTTGAAAAAGCATCTTTGGGACAAATGGAAAGATGGAAAAAATATAAATTCTATTTTAAAGGACTGGGTCCATCTATAGTATCTTATATGTTTTTATTATCAGCAGGAAAATATTACAACAGGGTTTGGAAATCTTGGCATTTCTTTCTAGTCCTTGTCTTATTTCAATCTGCTGAAAGGAATTTTGAAGTATCTGAGGAAAATAATAATCTTCCATTCTTCCATTCTGTTATTGAATGCATTCAAACTCAATAATAAACATTCTGTTCCAAGAGCCAAAATTAAATTTCTGAAAAGGAGGTTGAGCAGATTTTCCTAATCTTGAGTTGGCTTGTAATATTTCATTTCATACCTTTGAGAAAGAATGTTGTGATTGCTGATAAAAGTAGGAAGACATGTTTTTGCCAAGGCAGAAAGCACTGTGTATAATAGTGACTACAAGATTTTCTTTGGAAGTGGGACTAGGCTGGTAATAATGACAAGTAAGTTTTTGTTCTTTATTTCTGCTATTGTGGTCAGTTCGAGAGGTTGATTTCTTGGCTTATACCCCCTCCTCCCCCCATATCATAAAATATAGTCGCTGCATACTTTGCATAAAATTCCAGATTCAGTTCTGGTCTCCTCATTTCCAGGTGAGGAATAAAGCCTTTGATCAGAAACCCAATGTCAATCCTATTAAGCAATTACTACTCCTGATCCATATCTGGTTTTATACAACCCCTGTTTGCCCAGCTAAATGTGCTAATTCCCCAAAAGAAAAAGCATATTACAACTTTATTATGAAACTGTCTGAGCTCTGAAAAAGTCAATTTAAAAACAGCATCAACTCATAATTCTTATTCCCATAAGTGAGGTCTATGTGATCGTTAAGAGCTGACAACATCTTGATGGTAGATAATTGATCAATCAATCAAGATATGTGCTTCTAGGATTTTCAGCTTTCTGATCTTACATAACTTAGACGTGGCTCATGGATGGTTTGAACAATGATATCTTGACATGTTTACATTGGAAACACACACACACATGTAGACAGACAGACAGACAGACAGACAGACAGACATTGATAGATAGAGACAGAGGCAGAGAGAGGCAGAAAGACAGATACAGAGACAGACAGTGATACAGAGAGAGAGACAAAGACAGAGAGAAATGGACTATGAACTTCTAGAGAACTTTGAAGATGAACTGTGAGAAGATACCATTTTCCTCAGCTATTGTTTTATTCCCAACCTTATTCAGAACCCCATTCTTGAGATAGTTCTTTTTTTAAAAAAGAAAAAAAAAGCAGGGAATAGATCTGCAAACTGTCCAAAAAGCCCCCAGGTTCAATGTAATTGCCACACTGTGGTTTGTTAGAACGTATATGAGAAGATCTCGATACTTAGATCATGAGAGAAATAGCATTTCTGTATGCTTTTGTCAACAACCTGGGTTTATTCTTAATCTTCTTCCCCAACCCATCCTGTCAGTTTACTAGCTGTGTTTGAAACACTTAACTAATGGGTTTGTGTAAGGGTCTGTAACACTGTGAATGCTAACTATGGCAAGATCACTTGGGGATCTGGCACTACCCTGATCGTTATGCCAAGTAAGTTAGTCCACTAATATTACACATGAATGTACTTGTGATTGAGGGTCCTTCTGTCTGCTTGTGTGTTGGAGACCTTTTGGGTTCTTATAGATTGATTGGAAAAATGGGGGGGGGGAGTCTTGGTTTCCTCAAGATATGTTACAAGGGGAGAATGGGAAATGGAAATAAGGTTCTACTTCATCTTTCTGACAAGAGGGGTTTCCAAAAATGTTAGGATGAGAATTTTATGAATGTCCATCTAACATGGTAAAGCAGGCTATGATTAGTATAGATGGGAATTCTAGAAATAATAATAATAATAATAATAATAATAATAATAATAATAATAATAATGATGATGATGATGATGATGATGATGATGATGATGATGATGAGGATGATAAAGTTGGAAGGGACCTTGGAGGTCATCTAGTCCAACCCCCTGCTCAGGCAGGAAACCCTATACCATTTCAGACAAATTGCTGTCCAGTTTCTTCTTAAAAACTTCCAGTGTTGGTGCATTCACCGCTTCTGGAGGCAGGTTGTTCCACTGGTTAATTGTTCTAACTGTCAGGAAGTTTCTCCTTAGTTCTAGGTTGCTTCTCTCCTTGATTAGTTTCCACCCATTGCTTCTTGTCCTGCCTTCAGGTGCTTTGGAGAATAGCTTGACTCCCTCTTCTTTGTGGCAGCCCCTGAGATATTGGAACATGGCTATCATGTCCCCCCTCGTCCTTCTCTTCATTAAACTAGACATACCCAATTCCAGCAACCATTCTTTATATTTAAATCATAAAATTTATTCAAGCCTTTGCAGCCCCCAGGGTCCATGGACCACAGGCTGAGAACCACTGCTCTCGGAAATTAAAGTAGCATTTTGTTGTTGTTGTTTTTGTTGTTAAGGATTTCTGTATTGAGTGTCTATTAACAAATCAAAGCTATATTTAGTAAAACTAGCCCAAAAGTGGGCCCTGACAATAGGAGGAAAACTATACATTGGACAGATAAAAATATTGGGAAGGTTGAGAAGATAATTATTGTCAAAGTGAATCATTGATAGATATGTGTTTGTTTTTTTTACCAAACCAAAAATAATTGTTATGAGTAGTAAGATCTCCCTTGAACTAATGGGTTTTTGTAAGGGATGGTAACATTGTGAGCAGCAATGGTTTCAAGATCACTTGGGGATCTGGCACAAGACTCATCATTAGACCAAGTAAGTGGGTCCATCAATACTGCACATTAATGTACTTCCGTTCTGCTTCAGGAAGTTTCAATCATATTTGTGTTGGCGACCTTTTCAAGTGTGATGCCCATGTCTGAAGTAGTTATATTTCCTGATTTTGCCATTTACTGTATTTTACTGGATGTCAGGAAGGTTTGTATCTTTTAATTCATCCTAATTAATATAAGCTATTCAATGTATTTACAAATCAACAAACTGAACAAACCAACTGATGGCCCTGTAAGTAAGAGTCTTGAAATGTCTTAGTAGAGTTTGGAAATGAAAGGATGGAAAGGCAGAATGGAATCATAACTCTGAAGAAGAAACAAGAACTCCAATAATATTTTATCCCTACAGGTGTTAAAATGATGCTTTAGTTTTCCAGCAGCTGCATTCTTTGATATTTTAATCCTAAAGTATAGAAGCTTATTTTTTTTTCAAAAGAAATTTGTAGTTGCTAATACAAATAAGAAAATAGGTTGAACTCTTCCATTTTTCCATTCATTTAATGCATTTAAATTTAATAATATAAGCATTCTGTTCCAAGAGCCAAATTAAATTTTTGAAAAGGAGATTGAACAAATTTTCCTAATCTTAAGTTATTTTACAATATTTCATTTTGTACCTTTGAGAAAGAATAGAATAGAATAGAATAGAATAGAATAGAATAATAGAGTTGGAAGAGACCTTGGAGGTCTTCTAGTCTGGCCCCCTGCTCAGGCAGGAAACTCTATACCATTTCAGACAAATGGTTATCCAATCTCTTTGTAAAAACTTCCAGCGTTGGAGCATTCACAACTTCTGGAGGCAAGTAATTCCACTGATTAATAGAATGGTGTAATTGCTGATACAAGTAGGAAGACATGTTTTTGTCAAGGCAGAAAGCACTGTGTTCGATGTTGGATACAGAAAGGTTTTCTTTGGAAGTGGGACTAGGCTGGTCATCATACCAAGTAAGTTTTTGTTCTTTATTTCTATTATTGTGTACAGCACAATATATTGTTTTCTTTCACCATCATCATCATCATCTCTCTCCCCCTCCCCCTTCTCTATCTTCCTTCCCCCCTCTCTCCTATCTTTCTCTCTTCTTTCTATCCTCTCTCTCCCCCCTCCTCCTCTCTCCCTTCCTCTCTCTCTCCCCTATACCCATTCACACGCTTTGCAGAAAAAAATGATTTTGTTTGGAAACCCTGTGTAAATGCTTTTAAGTAATCAGTACTGTTGATTCATGTCTGGGTTCACACAATCATGTGTAGCCCAGCTCAGGAAATAATTAAACAATTACTCTATTTCCCAAATGTGCTAATTGTCTCAAAGATGCACCATATTAGACTTTATAATGAAGTTGTTTGGGCTCTGAATTTTTTTTTAAATATTAACTCATAGTTGCTGTTCCCATAAACAAAATATATGTGGTAACTAGGAGTTGACAGCATCTTAATGGCACATAATCAATCAACCAATATATTTGTTTTCTAGGAATTTCAGCCTCCTGATCTTAAATAACTTGGACCTGGATGATTGAACGTGGTTATCATGACTTGGTTACATTAGAAAGAGAGGAGAGGAGAGAAGAGGAGAGGAGAGGAGAGGAGAGGGACAATGAACTTCTAGATATTCTTAAATTGGAATAGAGATAAGACACCATTTTCCTATATAGTTTTACTCAAAACCTTACTCCCAACCCCAATCTTGAAGTGGATCTTATTTTCTGAAAGCAGGGAACAGATCTGCAAACTGTCCAAAGAGCCCCCAGCCTAGATGTAATAGCCTCATTGGGGTTTGTTGGAAGATACATGAGGGAATCTACATGTAGATCTACTTAAATCAGGAGAGATCAATAGCAATTCTGTATGCTTTCCCCCCCCCCGAATCTGGGTTTATTCTTTAGCTTTCTTCCCAACCCATCCTATTAGTTTACTAGCTATGTTTGTACCTCTTGCAAAAATGAATGGGTTTTTGTAAGGGACTGTGACACTGTGAATAATAACTATCAGATCACTTGGGGAACTGGCACCAGGCTGATCATTATACCAAGTAAGTTGGTCTACTAATATTACACACTAATGTACTTGCATGTACTTGAGGATGCTTCTATAATAATAATAATAATAATAATAATAATAATAATAATAATAATAATAATAATAATAATAATAATAATAATAATAATAATAATAATAATAATAATAATAATAATAAAGTTGGAAGGGACCTTGGAGATCATCGAGTCCAACCCCCTGCTCAGGCAGGAAACCCTATACCATTTCGGACAAATGCTGCCCAGTCTCTTCTTAAAACTTCCAGTGCTGGAGCATTCACCGCTTCTGGAGGCAGGTTGTTCCACTGGTTAATTGTTCTAACAGTCAGGAAGTTTCTCCTTAGTTCCAGGTTGCTTCTCTCCTTGGTGAGTTTCCATCTGTTGCTTCTTGTCCTGCCTTCAGGCGCCTTGGAGAATAGCTTGACTCCCTCTTCTTTGCGGCAGCCCCTGAGATATTGGAACGCTGCTATCATGTCCCCCCTCGTCCTTCTCTTCATTAAACTAGACATACCCAATTCCAGCAACCGTTCCTTATATGTTTTAGCCTCCAGTCCCCTAATCATCTTTGTTGCTCTTCTCTGTACTCTTTCTAGAGTCTCAGCAGGAGACCTTTTCTTTTTTTTATAAATCGATTGGAAACATGAAGAAAAGATAATGGCTTCCACAAGATCTATTACAAGGGGAGAATGACAAATGCAAATAAAGTGTTGGATTTTGTATTAATTTACTTATGTTTTTTAGTTTAGTTTTTATTTTTTATGGTTGTAAGCTTCCCAGAGTTACCTTGAGATATGATTGGGCACCCTATAAATTTTACAAATGGATAAATAAAATTTTACTTCAGCTTTTTGCTAATGGTCCTTCCAGAAATGGAAATAATTGTACAAATTCTATTTGCTATTGGTGCTTCCAAAAAATGGAAAGAATGATATAAATTCCCATCTAACCGTGATCAAGCAGGCTATGGTCAGGATAGGTAGGAATTCTAGGATTTCTCCTCCTACAGATTCTTGAGGGGAAACTGAGGTGAAGTCAATGGTTGTCACTGTCCAGTCCTTGGACTGTAGTTAAATTTATGGATATTGTGATCCCGTAACTTGGAGAGCACATTTGGGAAAGATAGATTAAGATATCTATCCATGTCTACGGCATTAATCTCAATTGGATTTGCACAAATGATAATGCATAAAGGAAGTAATAGACTTCCCAGGACTGCTGAAATTCTTCCATAGTTCTGACATACGTGTTATTGGAACTTCATCATGACTTGTCATCAATGTTGGCTTAATTGATGACTTTTTGTAAAGATCCACTTTACTGTGATAAATGATGGCACATTCAGAGTTGTTTTTGGAACTGGAACAGAACTGAAGGTTCGTCCATGTAAGTTTCTGAAGAGATCTTCAAAAGATAAACACTCTATAATTCCAACATAAACTGGTAGTCCATTTGGGACAGAGATCTGTTCGTGTAGAATTCCATGCTGTTTATGACTGCTTCTAAGCATTATAAAGTTTTGAGGGCAACAGAAGTGGAAGGTCCTTGGGTATCTATATTTCTACCATGAAGGAGATAACATGGGGACCTGAGGGCTGAGAACTTGATTGTTAGGATGGAATGTGCACATTAGCATTAAATTTGTTTAGATGTCATTTCAGGTAGGAAGAGGACAATCTCATGGTTCTTTCCCTTGAGAAGAGAAAGACCACATCTCTGGAGCTTTCAGATTCAGGTTGCAAAACTCTGAATAATCAT